TGCTTGGAAAGTAGTGCCTCCTATTTTATTACATTGGTCCGTGACATCAGAGGCTGGCACATGTGGTATGACAGTAGAGGCTGAACCTTCCCATCGATGTTCCGTTACACTTTATTGCCGTGTGACAGATGGCAGCGGAAGGCCAGTCTGCCAAATTGGTGCCTGGCATTGAAATGCATGTGAAGCCATGGTGTGTCACTGACTTCCTCCATGAAGAGAATATTACACCCATTCACACTGATCAACGCTCACTGCGTGTTTGTTGAGAACACAGAACGCATGTGAGCACAATGAGGTGATGGGTGTTGTGTTTCAGCAGCAGAGCAGCAATAGCAGCTGCGAAACTGTGGGTCACCTCTGTTGGCACTGTTGTGTGGTTTTTTGTTTGTTTCTTTTACCAAGCATGGCATGCAGGCTCTTATTATTGATGAAAATGCCTAATGAATGGTGGTAACTGTTGGAAAATAGCTTTGTAGCTGAGTATTTGCTCTAACAAATAATCTTATTGTGCTCTTTCTCTCTGTTATGCTTTCCATGAGAATAAATAGGAGGCATTACTTTCAGAGCGATCTATCTGGGAAGCCAGCAAGTGATTGTCTTGTCTTTTTATTCTTCATTAATGTCTTTTAGAAAACACAGTTGAAATATTGATAAGCCATGTGGGTCATCTATAGTCCTTGGTTTGGTGACATTCATGCGTTTTTCTCTGGGGTGGTTGCTAGGTTCTCCAGTCAGCCAAGATTTATCAGTCTGTTACTTGAGGTTTGACTTCCTCTGTTTGACCAGCATCGCTTCTTTCCTTGGCTCTATCAACTAGCTCCATCTATCCTGTCACATTACATGTAAGATGTTTATTTCTTGTTTTCAGAGTTCTTATTTTCTCACCTGTCACATCTGTGAAAATATTTTAATTTTTTTTCCTGCCTTCAGTTCCCCATCACTGTCACCTCATTTAAGCTTTTAATGCTTCTCTTTTGTGCTATGATTTATCTGATGTGCAGGCCCCAGGCTGCAAATTGTCCTCTTTAATAACCCTTCTAAAACATTGGTGCTTACCAATAGGTAAGCTGAATTGCAGCAGCTGTATTGCGCTGAAATAACTGTTCTTCATACTGTCTGATATTATCCTTTATTCTTTCCTCTCATGTCTTACTGAAGGGGTGATTGTCTTTTGTGGTAGCATAGATATTTTTCCTACCTTTCTTCATCTTTATCTTCATTTATACAGTGCTTAACAGGGTGGCTTGTTGTGCAGATACCATAGCAACATGAACAATGAGAGGGATTATATTTATTGCTTTCTTTTCCATTCTCTGAAACATTTGTTTGCATACCATTTGCAGGCCTCCTGAAGATTGGAGGCTGCAGGAAGAGAAGCTAATGCTATTTGGTGGTATGTTGTAGGGTTTTTGTGTGCATTTTATTTTTGTTTGTCTTTCCCCTCTCACCTAATAACCTGTAATAAGCTGTACAACTCACAGTTGTAGCAGAGAAGAATAGGTGCATAACTTTGCTCTGTAGTCGTACTAAGAACTTTGCTTAAACCTTGGCTTCAAATGAGACAATTTGTTGAGAAGACTTAGAGTGTACTTCATGCATGTCATGCATGTCATACAATCATGCATGTCATTTACATCCCATCCATATGTGGGCTTTCATTTGTAGGGCAGTGTGATAACATTAATGTTTCTTCATGAACCCAAGAACCAGAAAAAAAAACCCAGTCAATCTGACTGCTACCTGTAAGTCCAGCATTCTGTGTCACAATCTGAAGACAGGGGAAAGCACAAGTGTGTGTTGCAGATACAGATGTGCCACTTACTGGATCCCCTTGAAATGGAGCACTTCTGGAAAGCATATTCTCAAGTGCTGATTACTCTCATGCTCTTCTCGAGTCTCAGCACATTAGGTATGTGTTTATCAGATATTTCAGTTTCATGGCCATGCATGATGAAAGTGCAGATCTATTTTAGAGCCCTCTTAAGTTTTGAGTTGGTTTCTATTCCTCATGTACTGTTCTTTAAAGGGGAGCATTTATGAATAGATGATAGATTTTTCTCAAAGCCTGGGATGGTTCAAATCTTATGCAAAGTCGTTCTTATTTTTTAGCTGGATAGATTGCTGGTGGAGAAAGTAGACTTCATATTCTTCTAATATTCTTCCACCTCTACTGTGTTTGTTGGCTGCTGCCTTAGATTCTGAATCCTCAGAAGCCCTGATGGTATATCTGGAAATCATCCCCTGGACTGTGGGTGTGATTGTCATTCAAATGAGCTAATGGTAGTAATAAGATGGCTTGATATATCCTGACTATATGTAATTCAGCAGATGATAGCTTCGTATGTTTCCTAAACTTTGACCTATTTCTATGGAAATGGAATGCATCAATCTGTAGCAGGATGCTTTTTTTAATGTAGCTCTATGTGAACAGTTTCACATGGTGCATCAAGTAATAATTATGAACAAATTGTAATGTTGTCACTGTTGTGCAGTTTGCAGACTTTGTGCTCTTAGGAGTGCTTTTTACCCCTCCCCTTTCTGCTTTCTCTTCCCACCCCCAAGTGTTTTCCTCTGTACATCTGAATGGGAGTGATTTCTCTGGCTCTTGGTGATTTCTTTTGGATCCAAGCACTGAAATAAACTCCTGTTTCATTTTTTTATTGTGCAAACTTACCTGGGCCTTTTGTAGTCAGTGTTGGGTCTATAACATTCAGTGAGTGGGTTCATGTGTTGAAATAAACATAAAGTAAGATATTAACAGTAAAATACAATTCAACTGTGAATCTTATTCTGGCTGGAATGCACGATGTCACTGTTAATTCTAGATTTGGTATTTAGCTAGCCAGTGTTGTGGTATTTTTTTTTAAGCAGCTGTGAAATACTGTCTATTAGCTCCAATAATTGTTTACTGCTATCATCATAACTTCTCTGCTTTAAGCTTCTGGTTTGCTCTTGGAATGGCTTTTCTTTGAGCTTTGCATTATTGCAGTCACAGAGCCTCCCTGCATCCTAGCGCTCTTGTCTCTGCCGTTAGCTACGTCGAGGAAAAGCAATAGAAATTTCTTCACCAGTCCTTAAATGCCCTGAAATTGGAAGTCCAAACTGACTTATGTTTTAACTAGATTATTTCAAAGGCAGGCTAGGAAGGAAGTCTTGCAAACATGATGCAACCTAAAAGAAAAAGATAATTCTTTCAGCTTCCCAATAATATGCCACAGCAGATGCTCTGATTTCGTTCTTGAGGACATACCCTGGATGTTTCTGCCTTCCTTTTTCGGTTGCTTTTGGAGACAAAAGTTGTTAGGCATTACTCAAGGTTAGCATTTTCTGTGAGTTAATTAAACTTGCTTATTTATTATTTTTTAGATATGGTTGCTTTCGAAGGATATTTGCACATATCATTCTATCCTTCTGGCTTTGTCAGATTTTCTTCATCTTATACAAATAACCTAAGTTGAAAATGTGAGATGATGGTTTGCAGTTTGGTCTCTAGAGATCTAATTGTGAAATTAGGAATTACTGTAAAAGCTGCGCTGTGCCTATGTACTTCATTTCCTCTGCTGTTATACTTGCAGAGTACGTGGATAATCAATGTTTTGTGTTCCTGTTGCCTCCTAATAAAGCACTTAGTGGGAGAGGTGGAACATCATAGATCTGATGTTAGGCTGTTGGTGTTAAACTGGGGAAGTGACTCTTTCTGTATAGCTTTTAATTACTGTTAAGTCAACAGACAGACTCGCTACTAGCCCAGGACACAGTTTAGAAAAACTTCTGGGATGTGTTTCTGCTGCATTAACTTGGCTGCGTTTGTGGTAGTCTGCCTGCAGGTAACATCATCAACTTATGCTATGTGCCATAAGTCGCATGTTGCTTGTGTGGGGTTTCATGCAGGCAAGTCAAATCCTACTGATATTTTTTAGCTGTATCTGCAGTGCTCTTGTAGAATGGTTACTTTACTTCAGTGTTTCGTGAATGGTGTGTGTTACTGCAAATTGGAATGGCATTCCATACATATGCAGTAGCAGCTGGAGTGTGCCACAGCTCTATAGAGGTAAGGCAGCCTGGCATGTACCTTGGGGGGAAAAAACTTCAAATCCAAGTGCTTTCTGAGGTCATTAGTGTGTCACTGGCAACATTATAGTTAGAGGGGGGGCACTTAATTAACATTAATTGCTCATGGCTCACTGTGTGGCTCATGAAGGGTTTACTAAAAAGTACCTTGAGGAAAAACTGTTTTGAGGGAAGCGTGTCTTCTCTCGTGCTTAAGCTCAATGTACATACGAATTTCTGTGCATCAGGCAGTGATGTCAATATTACTTCTATTTGCTTAATACTTGTGGATTTATAAAGGTATTTGAACTTGAAGGCCTGGCAGGAGAAAGAACCATGGGCAGAAGCCAGCTCTCCAGTGTATGTTGCTTTTCAGTGGTTTTTTGGATGGAAGGAGAGTAGAATGTATTTCGTGCAGACGAGCAGGTTTATCAAGACTGTGATCTCTTCCTTTAACTCTCTCTCCTTTGTTCCACTCTTTTCAGCTCATTTTTGTAAGGGAGGTTTTATTCTCAGACTGCATTTTTTTCCTCTTCTTGCAGCTTGCTGGCTACAAAGAGGAAAAAGTGACAGGTTTGAAATAAAGGTAATGATGGGTAATGGTTTATATTTCTCTGCCAGTACAATCAGAGAAAAGCACTCAAAGCACTTCCATATGATAGCTCTAGTACAAAATAAGCTAAGCAGGTTAAGATGAAAAAGAATTAATGGTGTAAAGGAAGAACTTCCCTGTTTTATTATAAGGCTAGAAGATAGCCTAGGATTAGGAATTTGCTTTCTGATATTTAGCGGTGGCTTAATCTCTCATCTGTTTATTTTTTTACAGCCCTTTTGCCGTTATCTTTTAAATAAACACACTTAAAAAAGAAAGTAACCTAGTAATCCTGTGTATGCTCATATGTGTTGTGGATAGAATAAGCAGTTAAAATAACCTTGTCTCTCCCTCATAGGATCTCTTGGATCGACACCTTGCTTAACTGAGTGGTTGTGCTTTACTGAATTTTTCCATTGCTGAAGAATCCATCAGAACCATTGGTGAGCTATGCTTTACTGTTTTCTGATGGTATTTATTTGTTGCCATGTGCAGTTGCTTTATGTGTATCTGTTTTGTTGTAACTTGTAAGTTAGGATTCTACTTGGCATCTTCTAAATTGTGTAGACCTATGAATGTATCCAGTGCCACAAATAGGGTTGACTTCAATTCTGGATTTTTCTTTTGACTACTAGAAAAATACTTTTGTAAAAATAGTCAGTTGCTCTGAAAAACAAAACAACAACAAAAAAAAAAAAACCAAAAAAACAAAAAAAACTGTTCTCACATCTCCATGTCATCTTTCCTGGTAAAAAATGAGAAGTGCAAGTGGTCCTAAGTATGTCAGTGGCCATATGTGATAAGATGCTCCAGAGGTGTCGTTAACTATCAGTGTTCCACCAATTCTTCTTCCAGCTTGATTCTTTCATCTTCATCTTTGTACTCCATTAGCTTTTAATGTTTTGTGCCCAAACTGACAACCCTGCAGTGCTTTCACACAGCTGCTTACCTGATTTGATTATCCTTATCTTAGTTGCGGTTTCCATTTGTTGTATTACATTTTTTGACCATGTAGTGCTTGGAACAGAGGTTTAATTTTTGTGTCTTGTCATGATCTATGATGTATATCACTAATGCAGCTGGTTGTGAATTTGCCCTGTTTAAACAAAAAATCAATTTCCACTTTTGGAGAAGTAATTTGCATTAGGGAGGGGATCTTTGCTTTGGAATGGAATTAGAAGCTCACCCTAGAAGAGCTGATGGTGATGCTATTAGCGTTGTTGTCTGAAGAGTTCAAAATCCTGAGTCGTTGGTGTGCCTAATTCAGATGAGGGTCTTGCTTTTCGGCCTCACACAGGAGACCCAACAGATGATGTGACTGAGAAGTCTCCTCTTGAGATATTGACTATTAATTGGGTAGGGTAGGCTTTTTCACTTTATCTAGGGTTTTTGTTTTTTCTTTTTTTAAACTTCAAAAGGCTGTAGTTTTATCCTGCTGTACTTGATCTTCAAAGAACTTTTTTGACTTTACGTTTGATACTATGTAATGCCAAACACATTCTGCAAGGTGTTGAGTGCTTCTACTTCTTGCATTTTCACACTAGTTGGTCTTGTTACCTAATTAAACTGGTTCCTGCTGGGATCCCTTGAGTATGAAATTCACGTACGTTGTATGTTGTGGAATCTAATAAGTACCTTTTATCATTTATTATGTCATTTATTTCTTAATATGTTGTCATAACATTTTTCTTAATGGCTTTGATATTTTTTTAATGCAAATTGGAATAGCTTAACTTCCCCTCCACAAATAATACTGTTTCTTAATCATGCCATATGATTGTTCTATTTAGTACATATTCCCAGACCAATTATTTTACATTTTTCTACATTGAACTACATTTGCCATCTGCTGGCCTCATTACCTAAATTATCCAAATCCTTTGGAATTTGATTCTGGTATTCCTCATTATTTGCTCTGACTCAACTTGAGTATTGTTTTAAAATGTGGAGATCTTACTGTGATTACTATTCTGTAAATCAGTTGGCATAAAGTAATGATCTGACAAATACAATTAAGTATATGTAATTCTTCCCTTTTCAGTTTTAAGGTAAATCTTACACTCAAACTACGTTAGATCACTCTGTATTTGGTGTTTGAGCTATATTTTAAAATTTGATTCTGCAGAGCACTAAGATGAATTGGAGATACTGAATGCCTTTTACCTTTGACACTTCTTCAGCCATAAGATGCTGATGAATCTTTTCAGTTTCCCAAAACGTCATGAGGAAAAGGAGTGTTTCTGTGAGGACACTGAGGTAGAAAAATGTGGCGTGTCAAAGAAAACAGTATCACAAGCAAAGCTCCTGTCTAGAGCTTGATTTGCCAGTCAAAATAATCTGCTGCAGTATTGACAATGAAATCTTATGTTTTCCCTCTGACTTGCCAATATTCATAGGAAAGACACGTGCCAGCTATCAGTTTAAGGAATATAAATGTCAAGTAGGTTAACTTCATACTGATGGATGCGTATTTTTATCCATAGTTCATTATTGATTTGATTTTTTGAAAATTAACTTTGTGATAGGTCTTGCTGCACTTGGCGGTTTTGCAAATTAAATTAACTGAGGACGCCTTTTATGGTGTAAAGATATCTTACAAGTTAAGCAATTAATTTTCTAATACACCCTCAATATTTGCTACTAATCAAAAGCTGTGCTTGCAGCTCACAAAGCAAACAAAACAAAGGGTGAAAAAAAGCATCAATCCTTAACCCAAAAACTGACTTTAGACTTGTATTTAAAAAAAAAAAGTCCAAGTCCGAAAATCATACAATCATAGGAAGGCTGATTTCATGGGTAACTGAGCTCTCCTCCCTCCTTCTGGGCAGAGTTGCCACCTGATATATCAGGCTGTCCAGGGCCCTGTCAAACTGGCCTTGAACGCTTTCAGAGAGGGGGCATCCATGGCTTCTCCAGGCAGATTGTTCCAATGCATCCTCACCTTTTGTTTAGTAATTTCTGCCTAACGTGTAACTTGAATCTCCCCTCTTTTATATTAAAGCCATTCCCCTCGTAATGTCACAATCTGCCTTGTAAAATGTCTCTCTCCCTCTTGTTTATAGGCACCCTTTAAGTACTGGAAGGCTGCAGTAATATGTTCCTAGAGCTTTCTCTTCTCCAAGCTCAACTAGCCCAGCTCCTTCAGCCTTTATTCTTAAGGTGTTCCAGGCTTTTGATCACTTCTGTGGCCTTCATCTGGACCTGCTCCACTACCTCCATGTCTGTCTTGTGTTGGGGGCTGCAGATCTGGACATGGTACTCCAAATGGGGCTTCACAATGGCAGACTAGAAGGGGACAATCCCCTTCCTCTCCCTACAGATCGGTATCACTTCTGACACAGCCCAGGACAGAGCAGGTCTTCTGGGCTACAAGAAGAGCTGGATATAAGCCAGCATTTTGCTCATCACTGGGACTCATCTCCTTTCAGCTGTGTTTGTAGTATTTAGTGTGGAATTTGAATATTGCATCTGTAAGAAGCCTTTTTGACAGGTGGTGTGTTATATATGGAACATGCTTTCAGCCTAGTTTACTGAGAAGAGTAATTGCCTTCATCCTTACCTTGGTATTGCCAAAAGAAGGTGCAAGTATTAGCAAATCTTCATATTGATAGAACTTGTCCAGGTTTCCTGAGGATTGTGGGCTATGCTGCCTAAACCTTTCTTTCTGGAAAAGCTCAGTTATTTTTATCACACTAGCAACTCATTGATGGTCTTCAACACTGTGCCAAATTGAATGGCTATTAAGTTTATCCTGCTGATTCGTTATGTTTTTCTTGTATATTATGTGTGCTTGTATGTGTTTGTGGGAGAGTGTGTGAATGTGAGTACGTGACAAAAGCAGCATTTATCTGCTTGCTTATATAATGGGAGGAGGAACAATGTTCACTTTGCTTATTCCTTTGAAGACTTCTAATGAAGTAGCTGTAAATGTCAGTTGAAATTAAGCTGGTATGTCTGACTCTTTGACTAGAATAACTTGCTTCTCCCTCTTTCTAGTGTCACTATTGACAGGTGCTGCTTTTCTTCTTCTTAAGAGGTAATTAAGGGGAAATCCATTTAGTAAAGTGCATTTTGTTGCCTAGATTAATAAATGATGGGCTTACAAGGTCGAGGCCACTGACACATAGACCTAAATACACCTTTTAGCTTTTAAATATGATCTAGCTAAGTTTAGAGTTGTTATTATAGAGTCATACAATTCCTCAGGTTGGAAGAGATCTTGAAGATTATCAAGTCTGACCACTACCTAACCATAGTACCCTGACTCTACCAACCCTCTGCTACATCTCGTCCCTGAGCACCAATCCAAATGGTTTTTAAACGTTCTGGGATGGTGATTCAATACCTGACGTTTTCTCTGGTGGCATTAGTTGTTTGCTTCTCCCTGTTACTTACCATAGAACATAAGTTTGGAACTTGCTACCCAGTATATTACATTTTTTCACAAGCTATGAGGTTGAGCAGCAGTGAAGTTAGCTGTTCTTACCAGGTGTTACTATCAAAAGGATGTTTTTTTTTTTTTTGCAGACTAAACAGGATGTCCAAGTACGATTTTTCTCATTCAAGAAAGCATTAATATGCGATAGAAGTGCTGGTGTAAATGTTTATCCTGGTATTTCTGTTAATGTAGGAAGATTCTGAAGTTGTGTTGTGTTTCCTTGTCATTATTAGTTGTGTTGGTTTCCTTATCATTCCCAATGTGTATGGGAAACTGTACCTTCTGTGCAGTCTGATGCCCATTGAAGGTACTTCTAATCCCAAATCCAAGGACTGCGTACTTCATAGTTTTGCTGTGTACTGAAGTACAGGGAAGTGTCTGTGTGTGGGGCAAGTGGAGATCGAGGCTCACAATCTGGTTTTGTTTCTTCTGTTCAAAGCCGTGTGGTATCCTGTGCCTTTCCATATCTGCCTCAAAGTACAAGAACAATCTGTAGTTTCTGGGCCAACCTGTAGGCACGTGATTACTGTTTCGAAAGGTGAAGAAAATACAGCCTAGATTGGGCTTCACAGATGTCTTCTGATGAACTTTAAGAGACAAAATAGTTTAGTTGAAGAGCAACTTCAACTTGATTTCAGATTTGAACGTATTAAAATACGGTACTCAATTTTTTTAATTATGGGTGTGTAGGGTGATGCATTCACTGAATCTGATTGTCTGAAATTCAGTAATATTGCATATATCGGGAAATAAGAAATAAAAGAAGAGGTCACGGAGGAACAAATTATATAATATTTTTAACTTCATAGGAATCACAGGGAATTCATATGGCCTTTATTAGATGGAAATTTAAGTTGCGTTTTGAATAGAAGTTTTTGTTATGTCTTATGATATACAGTCAGTTGAGCTTTTGAACTGATAGTATTGTAGAACAGTTTTGCATAGTCAGTCATTACAGTGCATGAAGTGTCTCTTGTTTTGGGTTTCATAGTTGTTCCTAAATGT